TTATTTGACGGAGCAGATCTCGCATCATCCACCGATTTCGGCGTATTATGGGTCGTGTCCTGATCGACATGTGGAGTTGCTTGGGGTTGATCAGATTATTGCTAGGATATCGGGGACGGTGTTGAAAGTGGGTCCGGGGGTTAAGAATAAGGGTGAGTCACGAGGAGATGTGCGAGCGAGCTTTCAGCTGATGGTCTTCGCTTCTAGGAATGTTTGTGCGCAGTACGGGGGGGAAGGGATCTGGAGAGCTCTACCGTGTTACACACCCTACTGCTAGTGTGAACGGGTTGTTGCGAGGGAGCTTTTATGTTACGGTTACGGAGAGTATCGTTATAACGTGCACCTCTGGTCGTGGGGGGAAGCAGTTTAGGACGGTTATCGAGTATAAGGAAGAGGTGAGGCTTCATCAACCCCGTCTTTTTCTTCCCTTCTTATGTGTTGATCCTTCCCCGCTTCTTCCAGTCCTGGCTAGGCAAACCCCACTACCTCATCGAAGGCGTCATCCACACCGTATCCGAAGGCGACACCCAACACGAAGAATGGACCAAAGTGAAACACGTACCCCCATCTCGCGTCGTCGCTACGCTCGAAGGAACCTGGCGCGGCCTCATCCGATGGAAACGCGTCGGAACGGGGTCATACCCATCACACGTCCTCTCCGGTGGAGCTCACTCCGTTACAAACTCCCCTGATCCCTCACACGTCGTGTTACCTTCGCCTAGTGACCATAAGGGAGCTTCGAGTAGGAGCGATCTGATGACGACGATGGACGACGAACAGTGGCGGGTTTTGGTTGATTTGAGTACGCTTTGGGCTGTGCCGAAGCAGGTGAGGGAGTTGGAGAGGCAGGGGGAGAAGGAGAGTAGGAAGCTTTGGGATGGGGTTACGAGTAGGCTGCTGAAGAAGGAGTTTTCGGAGGCGACGAGGGAGAAGATTGGGATTGAGCAGAGGCAGAGGGATGAGGCTGCTGAGAGGAAGAAGAAGGGTGTTGAGTGAGTGTTTCTTTTTGTGTGTGTCTGGGCTTTGGGTTCGTTCTTGTGCTAACGGTGTTGTGTGACTGTAGGTTCGTTCCAGTGTTCTTTGAGCAAGATATAGAGTCTGGTATTCCTGTACTCACAGAAGAAGGGAAGAAGGCTATTCAGGAAGAGTTGAAGGAGGAGAACTAATTGGAGACATCACGGACGATAGATACTATTCCGCTCAACGTTTTCTTTTCTTCCCCCCCTCTTGCATATCACGATCGCTTATGACAGTTTCTCGTTCTATCCGCGCTTTCAAATCATGTCGTGTAATTATCAAACCATTGGGCATCCTTACGACCAATGGATCGGTCTGTATAATTATCTCTATCATTGCATTCTTAGCGACGGTAGTGAGCTCTCAACTGAGTCGCTCGAGAGGCGAAACTCGTTTGGGGGAGTTATCAGTCACGTGATCTTCCCACGTTTAAAAAAACTTATTGTCCGATGTGAAATGACAGCACGGCGCTTGGTTGCCAACAAACTTCAACGTTGTCCCGTCCCCCATCACCTACATACACCTGTGAGCCTGTGGCCCACAACGACCTCCGCTCTTTCTTTCTTGCTCTCCTTCTCTCTAATACCACGCACGACACACGATTATGGGCGTCGACGACAAATGGATAGGTCTCGCACTAGCCATCTCGAGTTCAATGGCAATCGGGATGAGCTCTATTATCACTAAAAAGGTACTTAGGGTAAACACTCTGCTCCGTCACCCGTGTTCTGATGGTTGGCTGGTAGGGGTTGAACGCAGCTGCGGCTGAGAATAGTTATGGAGATGTAGCGTCGGATTCGTTGTCGTATTTGAAGAATCCAATATGGTGGGCTGGGATGTCGACTCGTGCGTTTGCCTTTTTTTGCGTTTTTTTGTTTGCGAGTAGTGTTGATGGATTTTTGTTGGCTAGTTATTCTGGGCGAAGGTACTTCCTTGTTTTCCCCGTCGCACGCAAAAGAGTTGGGGGGATATTGAGCTCTCTCTTTTTCTTTTCTTACAGTGGCGAACTTTGCTGCATACACGTTCGCACCGCCGATTCTGGTCACACCGTTGGGTGCGTTGAGTGTTCTCATCGGGTGAGTTTTTTCCTACGGATTCTTCTATCTCAACGTTCGCTAACGAATGGGATGTCCATGTACAGTGCCGTATTGGCGTCTTTCCTGTTACACGAAGAACTAGGCCATCTCGGACGAGTGGGGTGCGGGCTATCGTTGATCGGGTCGTTGATTATCGTGTTACACGCACCGGAAGATACACCGGTAGATACGGTGGATCAGATTTTGGGATATGCTGTTCAACCTGGTGCGTTCTCGTCTCGTCTCGCTTCCTCCCACATATCCAATGTTCACACCTGCCTTCTCTCCTTCCCTCCCTCCCCTCCCGTCTAGGTTTCCTCCTCTACGTCCTCACCGTCCTCGTCTTCTCCATGATCATGGTATACAGCATCTCCCCCCGCTACGGTCGCACAAATCCCATGGTGTACATATCCATATGCTCCCTCGTCGGTTCAGTCTCGGTCATGGCGATCAAAGGATTCGGTATCGCGGTCAAGTTGACGTTTAGCGGGAAGAACCAATTCGTGCATCTGAGCACGTATGTGTTTGGGTTTATATCGATTTTCTGCATATTGGTGCAGATGAATTATTATAATAAGGCGTTGGATACGTTTTCGGTTAATATGTGAGTTGCCTCCATCCCCGTCCCCATCGTCTAAAAGCGTGTATGCTCAACGTAACGTTCGCCTTTTTTCTTTCCTCTTGTGTAGCGTAAACCCGATGTACTACGTCGGCTTCTCCTCCGCCACCATCGTCGCCTCTCTCATCCTCTTCCAAGGCTTCAACACCGACGACACCACCAACACCGTCTCCCTCCTCTGCGGATTCATCGTCACCTTCCTCGGTGTACACATCTTGAATCTATCTCGGAAAGACCAAGAAGCCCAAGCGGAGGCAGAGGCGGAGGCCATGCCGGCACATAGGAGAAGGGTCAGTTTGACGGGGAGGTTGTCGATTGATGGGTGGCATGGGATTGTCGAGCATGGGCCTCCCTCTGCCGGGCTGGGGGCGGGGCCGGGGAGGAGGAGTTCGCTTTATAGAGCGCAGACGAATACGCTGTTTAGTGCGTTTGGGGTTGATGATGAGGATATGAGGAGACCTGGGCCGGGGAGGGAACCTGTTGGGTTGCATCAGTTGAGGGAGGAGGATGAGTATGATGAGGACGAGGATGCGGATGAGAGGACGAGGTTACATGCCCATGGGAGGAGTGCTAGTGGGAGTCCCTTTGGAGGAGGAGGGAGAGGGAGACATACCCCGAGGAGAAGTGGATCTGGAACGCAGTCACCGGTTAACCCGCATAGTCATCAAGCACAGTCTCTGGGAGATGTGCGGATATCGCCTAGTCCTAGACCTGTTTGAGGGGGGGTTTTGGGATTAGAGTCACTAGCATGGATGGTTTTTTTTTACGTTTTTTCTCTTGATACGATATTTATGATGTTGGGTCGTCGTTACTTTCGCTATCGTTTTAAACTTTTAGAGACAGGGATTCCTGGATTAATACAGCTTTTTTTTTTTTTGATGTTCTGTGCCGCACTTTACCATAGTGAGAAGCAGAACAAAGAACCATGGGTAGGGTCAGCAAGCAACGCACTCCGAAGAGGCAGCGCTCAGAGTGGAATGGACCAATCTTTCCACGTATGGAAGGTTCGCTGTACCCAACTGGATCCCCGCCCTCGCTGAAGCCCACAAAGTGGTTCAAAGAGGGTAGGCTGTGTGCTGCTGTGTGGCATTGGACTGGACGTCTGAGCACACAGGACGGGGGTTCAACCGTTCTTTAGCTAGTACTATCACGAATTTGTGTCGTCGAAGAACACTTGACTGCGGCGTGCACATGTAGCGAATGGTGAGTCCGTTCCAAGCCCCGAGAAAATATCCTACGCACCTGCCCCACATACACATACGAGCCATAGTTACAGATACACTCTTCGAAATGCCTCGAAGGATATTGCACTATCTGACATTATCGGCACACGCCAGAAGGCTTCGGCCCTCGCAGAATTCATCACGAAAGTCCGGAACGCTCACTGTTGACACTGGTCGACCGCGAGGGGGAACCTAGACAAGAGCCTGACTACGAGCTTTTCGACTGGTTCACCCACTGGAGCACTGAGCTCAGCGAGGGATGGGAACAAATAGAGACGGTCCATAGTGTTGCGCGGGCTCGGCTTGGGGGGCTCAGCCTCAGGCTCAGATCCCCATTGAACACATCACAGTCGTCGTCTGGTGGTAGTTGTATAGGAGAATACATCTAGTTGATCTTTATGTCGGAGTCCTGATAGGCTCAGCATCTGCCACACGCTGTGTCGGCCTGCTATTGCGTTTGTTGAGGTTTCTGGTAAGATGGTCGTCGAATCGTGGTGGGGGCCCCACTCGCCCGCCGGTATATTAGCTTTGTTGGTCGCTGGTGACTCAACCCGACCTTGTTTGAATGAGGCACAGTGATAAAAATTAATATGCAGTTGCTTCGCTAATCTCCGAGGTGGCGTACCTGAACAAGGCACGTATATTGGCTTTGAGATAGCTCGGGCCCAGGGCTTGGGCTTCCGAAACTTCAGGCCCGAGCCCTAAGCTCTGCGAAGCCCTCTCCTACTGGGCTTTGTAAACCCCGGGCTCGGCTTAGGCTTTTAAAGGCTCAAGCCCGAGCCCGCACGTCGCTAAAGACGGAGGATCCGAGGTGGGCCTAGCTAGGAGAATGGGGGGGGGAGAAAGTCGGGGAGCGAGGGTCAAGTTGAGGAAGAGTGGGCAGAAACGATACGCACACACTGACACATCGCGAGCGGCGGTTCAACCGACTATGAGGTAGGTTTCATCCCGCTCATTTCTCTAGATTCGAATAGCCAGTCGCAGTATGGCACTGATGGATTGGCTTGATGGGTAGGAGCGACTTACATAGTATGTCATGGGGGGACACTCGTTATATGTAAAAAGTGGTTCAGCCCGGGGTCGAACCGGGGACCTTGTGTGAACTTATCACCCTTTAAGCGTGTGAGACACAAATCATAACCACTAGACCACTGAACCGATGATGGTGCAGGTTTGTCATGCAATATATCACTTCTTTCTTGTCCGTACATGAATCTTCCTCGATATGACTGGAATTCCTTCCCCGTTCCTCAATCTTAATGCTGTTTTCTCGGACAGTCGTGTGCTCGAGTAATGTAATGTCGTTTACGTGTTCTCCCGAGCCTTTCGTACCTACTTTGTTCTCGGGGAATATCCGATTCCACGTTTCCAGGGTGTCTCAGTTTTTTGGCAGTGTACTGCAGGCGAGTCTAAGGGGGGCACAACTTACATAGAGGTTCCTGAGTGACGAGGGTGCGTTCATAATATTGACAACGATCATAAGGCACATTATACATAACGCAGCCTACTAACGCGTTCGAGCTTCGGTTTTCCCGAGGTCTCAGTAACATTGCTTCCTTCAATTATATGAATTCGATGTTCCTGGCCAAAAGGCCCCAGGGGGGGTGATGTATGTGCTTTCGTTATGTACATATGCCTTTTCATTCTCGATTCTGGGATGCGTGGCGTAAGATCAGGACTTATGTGACCGTCAAGAAAAAAGGAACACTCCTGACTCTCGACTCGTAGCAACGAGATAGGTTGAACACTATTTCCGAGAATCGAAGCCCATGGGTCTCGGAGGCGACACAGGGTCTTGGAAGCAACAGTTACACAGATCAAGGAAGGTAACCTACCCAGGACCTCCGTTCTACCGTCATCCCAGGAACGGATGTAGCGTGTAGGATTTTGACCTATAGGAACGCGAGGCGGTTGTAACAGCAAATTGATGCACAGCCGGGAACACAGGGATCTCCAGGTACACGGGACGAGAGGAGATGGGTTTCCATGTGTGATCACTGATTGAGCAGGTTTATCGCAAGGTTCTTCCAGGAATTTGGCTTGACTTTTGGCTTGTGCGATACATAGGCCGAGGAGACGAGGTTACTCGGTCCGATCCTAGGACTTGGACAGGTTCCAGGAAAAATCAGAACGTAGGTGGACTTCCAGGTGCCCCTCATTTCGTCCTGTCAGTGTATTAGCATCTGCTGTATGATCGTACTCTATAGACGTGTGGGAGTTTTTGCGGGATTGACGCAGCCTCGTGCCGGAGACAAACTAAAGGATTAGGCAAAGACGAGGACGAGTTCGAGAAGTCACCAGGCACGACGGGGTAGGGTTTTGAATACGCGGATGATGTAGTGGGCTTTGCTGCTTGGACCTAGGCAAATGGAAAACTGGAGTGCTATGTAAGCGTTGTAAGTGTCTAGCGTGTGAGTCCGATGATCGAAGATGATTATAAGTCCTCCATACTATTCGAGTATGGTATTTTGCCGACGAAACGGGCATAATGAGCCCCATCAAGACAGGTCATGTCATGTAAGGAGGACTCTTGTGACCCAGACCAGATACCAAATAGAAACGACAGTTGTCTGCAGCTGTCTCTCGACCTGGGTCCTGACAAGAGAAAAGCCTTGGTTGCCGTCATTCGGGAAAGATGCATATCTCGAACTCGGAGATAGAATGAACGAAACCGTAAGTGGTAACTGCACCTAAAATGATGTTTTTTCGTGATGCTGAGAAGTTAATCACCTCCCAGCGTAACGCGTTCCAAACTCCCATGATGGTGTTGTGAAGGGATCGCTGACGGTTCCTGTTGCTAGTGTGGGGGGAGGGCGACATTGAGCTGGGAGTAGTATTGCTGAGCAGGTGTTCCATGCTCCGAAAGCTATCAAAGCTTAGAGCCATTTAGCCGCATGGGTTACCCAGAGTCTTATGTACTCCCTGCTCGTGCCACAGTCTGAATAAGTTCGAACGTCTAGGGGAATTCGGCGAGCTTTATTTAACGCAGCTGATCGTTCCTTGAACATGACATGAGGTGCCTGAAGCTGTAAGAGAGAGAAAACCAAGCCAAAGAATTCCAGGAACGAGAGCAGATCAGATAGGTTGTGCCATATCGCAAAAGGCTGCGCTGGTGGTAACTGGATAACAACGCAGCGGCCGTTTCCCGTGGTGCAAGGGCACATCGTTCCAAAGAAGAAAGTAATTACCACGATGGCGGCATTATAATTTCTATTAAAAGTACACGTGATCCGGCAAGATAAATCTGAAAAAGGAAAACTGGAGAAGGGGCTACCCAGCAATGTGCCTGGCGGCGAAGAGCGAATTCAGATTCACCCTTTCTCTCGGAATTTCTCACAGGTTTCCGTCTGGTCGCCTCTTTCCCTCTTACCACCATGTGGGCTACCTCACAGACCTCTTTTACTCCCTCAGACGATCCGTTGGATGAATTTCTTAGGCCACCGGCAGACGAAACACTCGAACAGGCTGCGATTCGCCTGCAGAGAGAAGAGCAGGCGAGGCAGATCAGTCTGTCAATTGATGCCAGCATCAAGGCTGAGCGTCAGGCGCGCAAGAAGAGACGGATCGTGCGGTTACTTTTACTTGGGCAGAGCGAGTCAGGTGTGTTGCGTTTGCGGCCGTTCTCTGTGCTTACGACGTGGAATTCATATTCCGGTTTACAGGGAAATCTACTACACTAAGGCGTCAGTATCGTTCATCCAACTCAGTTGAGCACTGACCTCATTTGTTCAATCTTTCCAGAGTTTCAACGTCTTTACACGCCAACTGCGTTCAGGGAAGAACGGATACTATGGCGGAGCGTTATTCAACTGAACATCGTCCGTTCAATACGAATCATATTGGACGCGATATCTCTGCCTAATTCGCCTCTCACATCGCCCAGTGTATCGCCTAAACCTCACAAAAGGAATGGATCATACCCTCGCGAACGTCGAGGATCATTTGGAACGAACTTATCATACCCCATGAACGCGGAGGCAGGTCCTTCTAATTACCACCGGAACGGCAACGGACACAGCAACGCGTACGAACGCGCAGACTCCGGAAACGATACAGATGGAGAATCGGACTTCGAACCCTACAGCGGCGGACGCTCAGACCATTCATCCGTCACCCTTTACTCTTCACCGGTCGAGTCATTGAAGATGAGACTGTTACCTCTCAAACATATGGAGGCACTACTCATCGCCAAGCTCGTGCCGCCGAACGAAGACGAGGCTACCCAGCTACCTTCACCCTCACATCTCAGCCGACAAATCGCGCAACTTCCATTGGCGTATAGGACGCACGAGGTCTTCGTGCGCCCAGGCGCTGGTTGGAAAGGAGCTCTGTCCAGGGCGCGGGTACACTTCCCCAGCAAAAGTGTTAGTGGGAGTGAAGAAGACAGTTCAGGGTCAGATCGGCCAGCGAGCGCTGGTACTGCAGGGATCGAAACCGCGGATGAGCCTCAGGAGGTCCTTCACCAGTGTCGGCGAGATATCATGGCTCTTTGGCATGACGAGCACGTCCGAACGATCCTCGCGCGTAGGAAGATCCGGTTAGAAGAGTTCCCTGGATTGTGAGTTCAGACTTATCTTTTTTTTTTCGACGGGCACATGGATCTCATCCTTGGCCACACAGCTTTTTGAATGATCTAGAACGCGTGACATCGCTGAAGTACATGCCTACTGAAGGTGCTCACAAGTCATTCCGCACTAATGATTATCCTTTTGACTCTATTTTGACACAGACGACGTGCTGAGGGCTAGATTAAAAACGGTCGGCGTCTGTGAATACAGATTTGAGATGGAGGTCGCAACAGGACGAGATACCCCGTCAGAATGGCGAATAGTGGACGTTGGCGGGAGTCGGAGTCAGGTAAGAAACATTCTTGCCTTCAATCTCTAGCCTTCATCGGACACTGATGATCTACTACCCTTCAGCGCCGTAAGCGTTCAGATCTGGTCACGAGCCCTTCATCCTCTAATCTCTCACCCTAGAAACATGGGTTCCATTCTTTGACGATGGTATTCGGTTCTTTTCCCCCCTGAAACTTGGACACCAGACTGAGCCCTGTGCTTTCTAGTTGATGCTATCATTTTCCTCGCGCCCATATCTGGTTTTGATCAGGTTCTCGCAGAGGATCGCACAGTCAATCGTCTGGTAGGATTATCGTTCCATTATTGCTCCTCGTCGGCTAACAATTTGTCAATGACAGGAGGATTCCGTTCTCTTATGGAAGTCGGTCTGCTCGAATAAACTTTTGGCAAACGTGGACCTAGTGTTGTTCCTGAACAAGTGCGACATTTTGGAACAGAAGCTCAGCTCGGGTATCAGGTGCGGCTCAATGCTTGTCGTGTTAGTGGTTGAAACTCAGCCCGGCCGCTGCCAGGTTGTCCAAGTATGTCAGAAGCTATGGTGACCGTCCGAACGATATGGAGAATGTCAGCAAATGTAAGACGCCCATTCCTGTTCCATGCGTGTCTGAGATGGAATACTCATTCAATCTTCCTAGACCTTCGCAGTAAATTTAGCGCGATACACCGGGAGTACTCTCCCAATCCGAGGAAGTTCTACGCGTTCTGCACCTCTGTCACTGTGAGGACTTCCTTTCCCCACGAGCTCCTCTCCCACTCACACGTTTTAATTACGTTCAGGATACGGCAACGACGGCTGGGATTATTGCCAGTGGTACGTTCCCTCGCAGAGTCGTTTAGTCACTCTTTTTGACATTATCTTCATTTAGTTCGGGATATGGTTATCCGGCAACACCTCAAACAATCAAAACTCCTCTCATGACGACCTCACGCCCACCCATTGGTATCCCGGTTCTTGACCATTTTCATCGCGTATCATCGAACACTGGTTTGACCCATCGCTACACAACACGCTCCCCCGTTGCTACCATCTCATTGTATTACCATCTTGCATGATCTGGCCCCCCACAGGCACAGAGTCTCGTTTCTCTTTATGGCTCTGGGCCTGCACTGCGCTGTACAACTACATCTTATGTCTCGCGTCCATTTTAGACTCCATTCATTCTCCCTCTCACTCCCACCCTCTCATTTATGATTAGTTATGCTTATGTTTCTCACTCACGATACCTGCAACGCCCTTTCCTCTCGCAAAAGTCTAACATACCGCGTCTTCCCCCCATCTTCTCCATCTACCTTCCCTCG